CCCACTTGCAAGCCCCGCCGAAGCTTTCGATACACCCTTTTTGGGGCTTTTTTCTTTTTTTTTTTTTAAATAAAGGAGAATCGTTGCTTCTTACTCCCGGCTTTCAAGTGCGATGGGTCCTGGGAGGTCAGAAAAAATTTCTGAGGTTCACACGGAAAAACGGCAGGGAAACAAAGACGCACGAAAGCAGCCACTGAAAGGTTTGTTTTTTCCTTTTAAGCCGAGCGGGAGAGCTAAACGTGGGCTTTAAAAACAAAAACCAAAAAAACCCACCCTGGCTTAAAAGCGACTGCACCAGACCTTTGCTCATCCTCCTTCTGGTCCGACTACTGACAAACCAAACCAAAGTAAACTCCGTTAATACCCCATACAGGTTTCTTTTCCAGCCGTAAAGATAAAACACAGCGCTGCCGCGAGCTCAGCTTCGCCCGGCTGCACCTAAGAACCCGTTTTGCCTTTTTTAATAGAATTTGGCGAGTCGTTTCCGCGCTGTGTCAACGCAGCGCGCTCTGCACCATTTAGAAAGAGGCCTCCACAGGCCCTTCGTCCCGAGCACGCAGCAACGGGGAAAACCTCCCTCTACGCTTTTTCATAATATTATTCTGCATTCCCGTGCTATCGCTACGGCACGATACCGGGCCCTCGTAAGCGGTTGCGTCAACGCGCTAGGCAATAACGTGCCCCGCTGTTTGCTGGCGCGGGACTTCGGAGCGGCTCCCCAGCAGTTCAATACGGATTTACACAACGGACTGTAACAGCTGGGAGTCCTCGCCGTCTGCGAAGCAGATCAACGTGCGCGTTGAAAAAGACTTTTCAGTGCCGCCGTGCAACAGCATCTCTCCCGGATTCAAAGGTAACCTCGCTCCACGCGTTTCGCACGCAGGGACGCAAAACGAGTTTAAAAACGCACTTTGCAGGGATTAAAAGAGCAGCCAGGAACCAGGCGAAGAACACAAGCTTTTACAAAGTCCCCAAAACCGACTTTTAACGCAGCCTGGGTTAACAACTAAGCGTTCGCACAAAGGAGAAAGTTCCTGTTAAGGGGCCCGGGCTTTCGGGTCCGGACGCACCCTCGCGCCCTGCGACGCCTTGGCATGCGGGTGCTGTGCGAGCCCCCTCCTCCCTCCGCACGCACGCGGGCTGCAGCAGCTCCACCTGTACCGCCTTTTAAATGATCGTCCGTCAAGTCCAAGCAAAGCCAGATCAAAATACCCCGCCACGGGGCGTTAGAGCAGCCACGAGAGCCTCTCCTCCTTCTCCACCCAGCCCCACGCGGCTCATTAGTGACCTGCTGCACATCGGTGATTTTTACCTGTCGCAAGAGGGGAAACCAGGTCGTGGGAACAACCTAAAAACAGACTGCTTTAAAGGCTTATATTTTTGGTGATTAGCTTTTTTTTTTTTCCTTTTCTTTCTTTTTTTTGGCTGAAGAGCAGACAACACAAAAACAGCACAGTAAGCACATGTTAATCGCTCCCTTCTGAAGCACTTAAGAGTAACAATATCTACACAACATGCTATTACAAAAAATAGTCACCTTTAAGAAAAACTAACACTGCACAACCGTTAAGTCATTTTACTAATGTCAGCTAGAGTAATCATTACATCATAACAAGCGGCTAAGTTTTTTTCTAAAGGAGATGGAGGATAAACATTAGCAACTAGAGGAAAAAAAAAAAAAAAAAAACTAAGTTCAGCTTGCAAATCACGACATTTTTAACTTAAATGCAGTTATGGAGAGGCAGGGAAGCTGCTGTCTTTCCCCCCCTCCTCCCCTTCTCCTTTCGGCTCTGTCAGGATCATGTTTTTGACTTCTTTATCCTCGCTGGGGAAGGCTAAAACTGCGCTTTTCCTATATATGGTGCACAGAGAGGCGTGGGTGTGTTTAAACAAATGAGATTTGGTCAGAGGCTCAGGATTTGGCGTGCTTGGAGCTGACACAACGTACAAGGCTCTGCAAAACCACCCTTCCCCCTTCCTCGGGAAAAAAAAAAAAAAAAAGGACGTTTCCATAGGCGGAAGCAGCCTGGATAAAATCCCGGTGACCGAGACCCTCAGGCCTCGGCATCCCCAGCCGCAAATTCCCCCCTCAGTTACTCCTCCTTAAAAGTTTTAAGGCAACCAGCTCTCCCCCACCAAAGGGACGCGTTTACCGAGCACCGTCAGGAAAACCCGCTGTAAAATTTGGGCCGAAATTTCAGAAGCGGCTAAGCGTCCCTGGTGGTCTCGCTGCAGAAACGCCGCGGGATGCCAGCTCCGAAGCCCGGGGGCCCTCCTGAAACACCTTCCTCCCTGCGCTCGCGCGCACCTTGCGAGGAGCAGCCCAGCACGACGACGAGCGACTATCAGCAATGAACTGCCTTTCCGGACTAATAAAACGCCACATTTAGAAGAAAACCAAGCCTGAAATTACTGAAAAGCGCCGGGAGCTGAGAAGCTCAGAGTGCCCATGGGATTTAGGAGCATGCCGGAAACTCTCTCCGCAGATGTCGGGTGCACACGCATCTACGCATAGACACACGCATTGCCTTCTAATAAAAGAACAGCCTTATTTGACTACGAAAACACTCCCCCAGAAAACCAAGGTTGAGTTCAAAGGACATTTCTGCAGCAACTTTTGCCTTCTTAAAAACAACAGGGATGTAAAGCTAGCTCCGAGAGTAAGGGACTCTAATGAACGTGCTGACACCACTTTAACGATGGCATTGTGAACGGCGACACTATAACATACACGTACACATACTTGAAAGAAAAAAGGCCCCTTGAATTTATGTTGCATATCATTTTCCAGTAAAAGTCAGGGGTCAGAAGGTTACCAGTTTCTGCCTCAGCTCTGCAACAGTTTACTATTCCAGGCCCCATTTTTACTAGGCTACACTTGTGATGAAGTCAGCAACTTTTCCTTAAACAATAAAGTGTCTCAAATACTTAAAATTCTATAAAGAGATGTTATTTGCAACGCACGTTACGTCCGCGCATATAAAAAATTAAAATATACTGGTTTAGTTTAAAAACTAATCTTGTTAAACGTAGACTTTGCAATGCTAATCAGTCCTGTTCAACCTTTTTTTTTTGGAAGCACAATT